AAAAAAAAAAAAAAAAAAAAAAAAAAAAAAAAAAAAAAGAAAAAAAAAAAAAAAAAAAACAAAGGAAACCTGAACTCCTCGTTCGCAATTTGGAAATGCCTCAAAAGCCCTTAGGAGATGATGTGAATGGACGTTGTTCGTGAACTGTTGTGGTTGAATTCTTCACCAACAACTTCAACCAAACCGGTTTCTATCCAAGTCGATTCTTCAACTCCCACGCCGGCACCACGAATTTATATCTCTCCGAGTGAAAATTTCGAAGGGCGGGTAGCATGAAATTCGGTATCTGATTTTGTTTTTATTTCACCCTCCACCTTTTTGGGCTTTTTAATTGGGCTGAATTTTGGGCCTCGGAGTTTCCTTTCTCGTTTAGTTGCAATTTCAAAGCCCAAATACTAAAACGATTTGTCGTACAGCTTGTTTATTTTCTTTTTCCCTAAACCCTAAACGCCATACATCATAGCCACTTGTCGTATAGTCCTATGCTTTTGTTTTTCTATTTTATTTTATAAATTTCCAAATTTTTATTTTCATGCTTTTTAGATATTTAATTTGTTTGAATATAAATATACCCATTAAAGAAGTGAAAAGAGAAAAATATTTATTTCATTAAATAAGTGAAAAATATAAATATACCCATTAAAATTTTGTTTTCATGTCCTTTCAATTCTTTCCATTTTTTACAACATGTCGTCCTCTGGTGCAAATTATTCGACATGTCGTTTTTCATTTCATGATTTTGAAATATAGGATGATCTTGCTGTGTAGGCGCCAAGAAAATCTCCGGTTATATCTCCGGTTATATCTCCGGCAGTGGCGGCGGCGCCGTCTTTATTAGCACTATTGTTGTTCACCAGTATCCCACTGAGAGCTTCTTCAAACAATGCCTCTTCAAAAGCCATCCTGTGATGAAAAGATTAATAATTATCAATTAAAAAAAAAAAAACAAAAATGCAGATCAGCCGTGGAAAAAAAATATGATATTGGGATATTTTAATTTATAATATGATATTAGGATTTCAAATTTAACGAGAAATTATGTATATTTTTTTTATCATATGCTTTTAGAAGGTATTTTAAATTCCCATCATTACCTTGTCATTGTCAAAAATAAACATTAATAATATTAATTATTTAAATTCCGTTTAATCTAAACCACCCAACCATATTCCTTTTTTTTTTTTTTTTCCGCATTTAATTCCCTAATTCAAAGCACCACTAATATTCCTCATTCAAATTGGAATTAGGATCCAATTTCCCTACCGTTTAAGTAATCTCGTCTTACACTCAATTTCAATTCCAAGATTTATTATTATTTAATGTGTCCGGGTATTATTTAATTTATCAATAATTCCCATATTAAGAACGATAAATGTAAATAAAATTGAGAGTAGAATGGAATAGATTAAGAGAATAGAGAGAAAATCCCCTAAATACAAAAGTCTACACATTCAACGGTGCTGATTGCTTAATAAGTCATATGGGACCCCACCCAATCCTCATCCCACCACGTGCCACGCATGCTCCCGCGAGTATTCTAAAAAAGTCTACTTTCTGCCACCGTACCGGACTTATCCGCCACCTCTTCCTTTTGCGGCAACATCCGGATGTTTATAATTATTGATTTCACCACCAACCATAACCAAGACTCCAAAATCATAGATCCATTATTTTGTTTTCTTCCCATCGTACCCCTAAGATTATATCTTCAATTAAAGGGATAAATTAGAGGGTATTGGAGTGAGTGAGTGAGTGAGTGAGTGACTATGGGTGATTAAAAGTCATACCCAAAGAGCGCCGACTTCGACGAGCTTAGGTACGAGGTGGCCGCTGAGGTGGAGGGCGACGAGTGATTCGAGGCCGCCGACGAAGGCGCCGCCGATGAAGACAGCAGGAGTGGTGGTGGCGGTGGTGGAGGTGGAGCAGGTTGCTAAGGCGTCGATCTCTTTGTCGTCCAATTCGATAACGGTAGGGTTGACGCCGATGGTGGCGAGGAGCTTCTTCATGACGTGGCACATGCAGCAGGAAGTGCGGCTGAAGATGATTACGGGGTGTTCGGAAATGAGGCGGCGGATTCGAGTCTCGGCGGACTCGGCCACGTCGATGGAGAGGGAGGTAGAAGAGGGGGAGGCGGGCGGTGGCGATAAGTCCAGGTGGAGGAGGTCGTCGGAGCACCGTCTTAGGCCTTGCATCGCCGGAGGGCTGTAAGACAATTACAAAAATTTGAGAGAGAGAGAGAGGAGTGGTAGCGGGGGCTAAGAGGGAAGGGAGAAGAGGAGTGGTTTTATAAAAAGCAGAGTGGAGAGCGCTTTTGCTCACATCACTTCTCCATTTTTAATACACTTTTTCTCCTTACCTTTTCACCTCCTTTTTTCGCTCGTGTTAACCACGCGCTACTCAAATAATACAATATACTGCAACTACACAAAGAGCGTGGAGAACACTAACGAAGGAGGAGCGTGGAGGGGTAAGTTATTATACAACGGTGGTTCAAAAGCACCGGATATTTGCCCGTGCATTAGCGTGGGAAGAAGGACAACATGGCAGTAAATGACCATGGCGTCACTTTGACTTCGACGTCGAACGGTAAGAATGCGCCTTGACGTCACTAAAACATGTAACACCTCAGCACTGCCACTCAGTAATTTTTATTTTATTTTATTTTTTTACACCCAAAAAGAAAAATAAAGTCATCTGACGTGGACTACATGGTAACCAGTGGCACCGGTTCCCACTCCCACTCTCATGACATAATCATCGGAGAGAAGTTTCAGTTCCCACGTCACCATGACGTTCCCTCCCTTGCACGTGGCCTTCCTATTTAATCTCCTCTGCTCGTGGAGCAACGTGGAGCTGACCGCACACAGGACCCTCCCTCTCTGGTAAAATTAATTTTTTTAATACCCATCCCACGTATCCGGGCCACCTGGATTCCCAGCATGGTACGTAAAATGTTTATAAGGCTGGCGTGGACCCTACCCATAAAGTCCACGTTCAAAATCCACCGTCCATGGTGGCAACTATGTGTCTGCCATATGTGTGGACGTGATAATCAAGCGATTACGTCATAATTTCTTGTTTTGTTTCACTAATTAAATTATTATGATAATTATCTCAATAATAACCCACTATTAAGCTTATAATTTCAATCCCCTAATTACACTAACTACTATTATTAATTACGTTCTGTATACATTTTTTTTCTTTCCCACTTTCGCCCCTTTTCTTCTGTCTAATCATGTTCCATCCCCCAGTACAATCCACTATTTAATTATGATACCCCACAACTTTTAAAAAATTATTTCTTATGCGTATGCCATTAGCTTGGTTCCAGGAAAGGAAAACAACTTGCTGAAACGATGTTGTTTTCCAAACGTGGCGTTGGATTATATATATAATTTCTGCGTAATTAATAATACAATTTACAATACAATACAACCCATGGCCGGTATGGAATCCGGGTCGATGCCCATAACCCGGCCCATTACTCGTGTGTAGTTGCTTTCATTTCACTTCGTCTCTCCTTAAATCTGTCGGCGCCGTTGGACAAGGCCACCAATTTATTCATTTTTTGGAGTATTAAAACTCGTTGACTGGCTTATCGTGACACATGGGTGACGCAACTGCCATGACAGTCACAGGTGACCCACTGCCTGTCCCCGCTGACGCCATGATCTGAGCCTGTGTCGGGCTTACCTTCCAGTCCCCCACCGGAGCTCCGATCGCCTTCCACACTCTCAACCGTACACGTGTCCCATCCACACTGGAAAATGGTTAACGACGTAACGCGGGAACGCGGCGAGTAGAGGAAATTTGATCGACTTTACGCAAAAGATTTAAATTTTATTGGGATGGAGATTTGTCGTATTCCCACCAGTAATCGGCGTGGAAAATTGTGCAGTATTTGTAATTTACTCCGCCGCCCTCAATAAATCGCTTCCTCTTCAATTACGGGCCCATTTAAGTTTTCACATTGAGGGCATCAAATAATCGAATATTAAACTATACCCACAAATGATATAATATATAGTATAAATACATACTATGAACCATATAATAAAATTAAATGAAGAAAATATAGAGAATGAAATATGGGTCGGAGGAGAAAGCGACAAGCAAGGAAGGAGGGACTCTTCATATTCGGAAAGGTTATTGAAATGCATGTGATGCGTTTAAGGTATTTTGTCGGCGTGTGCTTTCGTGTTATTAATAATAGATAAAGTAACTCTCACATTATTGCATTTCGATTCTATAACCAAGTGGGACACTTGGGTTTCTAGCGTCACTATTTTCTTTTCTTTTTTTTTTTTACAAAAATAATATTTATTTAAAACGAGTTACTAGTATATTCTTTTATTCGGTATGAGAAACACTCTGTGTATTTTCAAAATTTTTAATAATACCTTTCAAAAAAGAGATCCCACATCGGTTGGAGTGTGAAAGCATAAAGAAGATAATATCTGATAACAGTAGACATGAAAATGAATGCCCAAATAGATTAGTGTCTACTGTAGTATGAGAGGGAAAGCCCAAAGAGAATAGTATCTGTTAGCAGCGAGTATGAAAGATAACAATATCTATTAGTAGAAACTAAACTTTTGTTGAGTTTTGATAAAATATAATGATTTGGAGGCTTTTCGAGATTTAAAATAAGGGTATCTATATGAGCGGGTTTCAATTATCTAACAATATCTATAGGATTTCCGTGTTCCACTAAATCCTATTCATATAATTAATTGTTTATTTAAAGTACCTGTAAAAATAATATGCTGGACCTAACTATATAATTTTGAATTTAATTTTATTATATTTAATTAAAAGAAAGTTTAATTATAAATTTAGATATTTGTGTCTATTTAATTAATTAAAAAATGATGGGCCGATCATTGCAGCCCATCATCTTTTAAAGAGTGTATATTTTTGAAGACCAATTGGATCTTACCCAACAGCTAGGGTAATTTGGGCTTCAATTGTTTGAATTAAATTAAACCCGGTTCAAATAAACCAAGGGGCTTATTTTCTTCGTATATCCTCTGACGTCGCTGTAGCCATTCCCTCCAATTTTTCGATCAGCGTTACAGTTTGGGTATCCATTTGAAGCTGAGCGATACTGTAAAAGTATTGCTTCTGTAATGGTTTACGAGATTGATTTTAAACTTTGCACATTTGTCGCTACCGGAAGAGGATCATTGATGGAAACAACAATGTATGACCGGGGGTGCCGTGATGCTGTTACTGGCTACTTCAAGAGCGAGGTAATTTATATAGCGCTATAAGTTCATCGATTCAGTTCTTTGATTTCATATTTGTTGAAAAATATGGATTGTTGTTTCTTCATCGCGTAGCTGATATGTCGAGGATTTTCGTTCGTTTTGATAAATGAGTTGATAAATTCGCCCTAGCTATTGATAATATTATGCGAGTTTTAGGAAAAACAGAAGAAGATTATACTTACACGAATCTATAGTCCAATCGCTGTGTGATGATAAAATCAATACTCAAAATTCGAGAAGTTATAATTTGGAAATTTTGGAATCGTAGTTCTGTAATTTGGATCTGTGGCTCTTTTTCTTATGCTCTATTTACTGCAGAGTTTCACCGAAGGATATCTGGATCGTTGGGGATTTGCTACAATTTATGACTGTTCTTGATGATGGTTGCGATGCGTATACGGTGGTGAGTGGGCGACGTCCATAATTGTTTGCATTGCATAATTTGAGCTCGGGTCCATTAAATTGTTTAACAGTTCTAAAATCTGATCTGATTCCTCTTTTGGTGTCATTATTTTGCAGGAAATTCAACTTGCTAGTATGGAATCCAAGACCAGAGGCCGACCAGGTTAGTTTCCCTTCCACTGTCCGTTCTCCACCGCTTCTGCTCCTTTTCTTTAGATATTTGCGTGCATAGTTTATATATATATATATGTTTGTTTCGAAACGTGTCCAGTTCCCAATCCCATCAACTACTGAGTATGGCTGGTCCAGGGCCACTCTGGTTTTATCTGCATGACAAAGTGCGCGTGCAGGTCAAGATTGTGACAACCTGAAAGCTTTCCATCTTTGAAACTTACAAATCCATCACTTTGATTCAATTACTCTCTTATCCCCATGTCCCATTTTCATCCCCATCCTCATCCATCACACAAATATATAGAAACAATGAATTGATGATGATGATGGATATGAACAACCAAATACACGAGACCAGGACAAAGCCGCAACGTCGAAAATTTAATATTTTTGTTTGAGAAAAGTCACAATACAAAACAAAATTGCTCAAAGAAAATTCCTACCACTTACGACAAAACCGCCTCCATGAGAATTTTCATTTTCCATATAGATCCAAGCCTGTAAGAATATTCGCTATGTATTATGAAATCGATGATGTACGCAGGACTTGATTCTTTGCCTTCAAAATTGGAATATTAGGAACTAGCTGTCTCAAGTGCGTCTATATGATTAAGAATAAGCTGTCCCTTTACCCATCGTGGGCGTACCGTGATACGCATCAATAATGTACTGCTGTCGGATGGATTGTTACAAAACGTTGAAACTTAAAGATCACCTCTGAAAAAATAATCTCTTTCAGTTCGTCCCTTCTGTTCTAGAGGGGTGTAGAAGAAAATAACTGCCACTGGATGAGATGGGATATAGTTTTACTCTTCCACTTGAGGCTTCTTTTGCTGTTTGGTGTAATGTTGAGTTGAATTTTGTGTTAAATATTATGAAAAAAAGCAAACTAGACTGCAGAATATGATGAATTCTTCACCATCCAAACATTTCAACGATGCAGAATAACAGAAGAATAAAAGGACTTCGATGGTCGTTTCATTATTTCCACTCGTATAATCATTCGTGTACCGACAAAAGAACCTATCTTAGTGAAACTCCCACTGCCACCCCCACCCTCCTCTTGTTATTTTCATTTCCCTCCCCAATTGCCTTATTTAAACACAAACCACGCACCAAAACAAAATAAACTCAACAGTCAACGCACTCTCCCTTTCCCTTTTCCTTTCCCTTTCTCTCTCGCTTTCTCCTTCTCCCTTTTCCTCCTTTTGGCTATCGAGAAAAATGGATGGTTTTTTCCGAACAGTTGTGGCGAGTGTGCCTGTGGGAGTGGGTGCACTATTGTTCACGACGTTGTGCGTCGTGGGAGGGGGGTTTGTTTATTTCTATGGACCGTACTGGGGAGTGAGAAGGGTGCCTGGTCCACCAGCTATTCCGCTGGTTGGACACCTTCCCTTGCTTGCTAAGTACGGCCCAGACGTTTT